TAAAAAAAAAAAAAAAAAATACAGTAGTCTGGTGAGGTGGTGCATGCCTGTAATCCCAGCACTCAGGAGGCTGAGGGAGGAGAATCATTGAGTCTGAGACCAGCCTGGGCTGCAAAGTGAGCTCAAGGCCAGCCTGAACTGCATAGCAAGACCCTGAGTCAAAAAGACAAAAAACAAAGTATATACTGAGCATCTACTATGTACCAGACACAGATCTAGGCAGTGGGGACACAGTGGCTAATAAGCTAGGTGAAACAGAAGCCCTTATATAGTTGTAGTCAAGCAAGATGTAAATCAGTATCTACTAAGACAATTATATATATAAATAAATATATATTATGGCTTGATGGTAACTTCTTGGAACAACCTGTGTCATATGTATTTCATACAGAGCTGATTTCTTTTTTTGTTTGTTTGTTTTTGTCTTTTTGAGACAGAGTCTCACCATGCAGTTCAGGCTGGTCTTTAACTCTCTTTGTAGCCCAGCCTGGCCTTGAACTCACAAGGATTCTCCTGCCTCAGCCTCCCAGTGCTAGGATTACAGGTGTGTGTCACCATGCCTGGTTTCAGAGCTGATTTCAGTAAGAGGCCCGTCTTGAATCTCAGGAGTGTTTATTTAATGAAATATTAAATCTGCTTCCCTATATGGACCTGGGGTCTGACTCCTAACTACTGACCACGTGTTTTTCAGGAACTTGGTATTTTTCATAAGCTCCTCCTCTAACTAGAATTTCAGGAATGATAACCTGGTTCTGGTATGTTGCTTCCTAAATCCTTGAGGCCATCAACAGGAAAACTCTGTATTTGGCTTTCGAAATCCTTGGAGAACTCTTACATGACACTGGTTTGAAATACCCTACATTTCAGTTAGCTCTTCATCAGGACACAAACAATGAACTCAAAGCTGCCCTGAAATTCATTCTTTTAAACAAAAAGCATAACATGGACATAAAGTACAATTGGTACAATCAGAAATATCGAGGCCGGGTGTGGTGGTGCACACCTGTAATCCCAGCACTTGGGAGGCTGAGGCAGGAGGATCGTTGAGAGTTCGAGACCAGCCTGGGCTACAAAGTAAGCTCAAGGCCTGCCTGAACTGCATAGCGAGACCCTGTCTCAAAAAGACAAAAAAAAAAAAAAAAAAAAAAAAAAAAAAAAAAAAGAAAAGAAATATTCCAAATAGTCTAATTCACACAAAGCCTAATTTGAAAAACACAAGTACATTGAACTGTTTTTAAAGAAGGCTTTGTACAAAACTTGCATCAGAATATGCCTATTACTTATTAAAAATAGGGGACAAAGAGATTATGTACAAGAAATACTTTGGGGGCTAAGTTGGACTTCATTTTTTTTAAAAGTTTAGTTTAAATTTTTCTTTGCCAAGATAGGGTCTTACTATATTGCCCAGACTGGTCTCAGACTCCTGGGATCCATGATCTGACCATATCAGCCTCTGGAATGCTAAGACTATAGATGTGTATCACCATGCCAGGCTCATCTTAATGTTTTGAATTAATTACCTAGGACAAAATACAAAGGAATTCCACAAAAAAAAATGACAACCAGAATGATACCCCATCAGTCAGATTTTGACTCCATCAGCCAGATTTTGAGTATTTTCTGCTCTGAAATGTCCTCTTTGTCAGCTAAAAATATTTTTAGGTCAGTTTTCTGGTGAGCCTTGTTGACATTTAGTTTCAAAAACAAAGGTGAAGCCGGATGTGGTAGTGCACCTGTAATCCAGCATCAGGAAGCTAAAGCAGGAGGATTACTGCAAGTTCAAGGCCAGCCTGGACTACAAAGTGAGTCGAAGGCCAGCCTGAACTGCATAGCGAGATCCTGTATCCAAAAAGATAAAATAAACGAACAAAAACTCAATGATGATATTTATTATTTTTGTTTAACTTTTCTTCTTGCTTCTTTATGTTTCTTCCGACAATCCTGTAAAATCAAAAGACTTTGTTAACAATAAATTGTTTTCAAGGTGTTCAATAATTGTAAGGTAACATGGTTACTATCATTGTCAGAGCAGTGGAAACCCATTTTAGAACTGCTCATTGGAATGAACACTCATAGGGAATATTCAAACTTTCAGCTTTAAATGTTTAAGGGTATTTTAATTCAGTCTTTAAATGTCCCCTGATTTCCTGTAACTTAATTAGCCTTGCTGGACTCTAGGACCAACTACTCAAATGAGCTAGTTAGTCTTCAGTTTCCTCACCAGCACCAGCTGTGGGCTGTTTTAAGTTTCCTCCTGTACTATAATTTGGAACGTTTAAATTTTTTTTTTTTTTTTCCTCCGGTACCGGGAACCAAACTCACGACCTTGCGCTTGCCAGGTGGAACGTTTAAATTATGTTCTCAATTATCATCCTTTCTAAATTTTCATATCATATTCCGGTTACCTTTACACCAAGGAAACAATAACACAAAGATAAAACCTTACCTATTTTTGGAGACAGTTAATATGGAGGAACAATACTCACCATAAGCAAGCTGTTTGTTTGCGCTTCCCAAGAACTCTTGCTAATATTATTTCCCACACCTCTCCAGAATAAGTCAGAACCTATGAAGGGAGAACAAGAAAAATGAGGCAGAATATCATTACCAAAATGGATAACATCCTAATGGTGGGTCTCCAATGCCAATTAGGATCATTTTTTTCAATTTATACAAACTTTTCAAAAGTGAATATTTCATTGAGCAACAATGAAAAATAGATTGCTAGAATTTTACTGTTTATAAATGATTTACTGTTATACAATGTTGTTTTTATGTTTTATGCTTTAAGATGGAAAAAAAAAAAAAGCCTGGCATGTTGGTGCCTGCCTATAATCCCAGCACTCAGGAGGTTGAAGCAGGAGGAATGCCACGAGTTCAAGGCTACCCTGGGCTACACAGTGAGTTCGAGGCTAGCTTGATCTATATAATAAGACCATGTACCAAAAAAAAAAAAGTAGGGAGGTAGCTCATGACTGACTACTCCCAGTTACTTAGGAGGTTGAAGCAAGAAGATTACAAGTTTGAGGACAGCCTGGCAATTTAGGGAGACCCAGTCTCAAAAAATAAAAACTAGGCATGGTGTCATATGCCTATAATTCCAGAACTTTGGGATGCTAAGGCAGGAAGATTACAAATTCAAGCCCAGACTTTGCAACATAGTGACCTACTAAGACTCTTGTCTCAAATGAAAAGGCTGAGGATAAACCTCAGAGGTAGATACCCACTGATTCAATTCCCAGTACCACAAAAGGGAAAACAGCAATGTGAAAAAATAAAGTGAATTCACCATTAGCCTGGAAATTTTCATATGGATTTTTGGGGAATTATGTCTAGCATGTAAGCAGGTCCATGTTCATAATGAGTAAGTAAGGAATATCCTCAGTGAGAAGCTCTCAGTCCTAAAGAGTGTTACAAGTCAGCATGTGACACTGCATAGGGTCAGAATTTCCAAATGTGAGTCATTGTAGCTGAGTGTGCAATGAGAGCTGTGCTATTATCTGTTTTGTTTCACTCAATAGAAAGACTGGCTTACCATGAAGTCTTTCATCATTCTTAGAGAAAAAGAAAAACCTAGTGGTCTCTTTTTCAAGAAATGATGGTTCTCTGCAAAGGGGAAGAGGAAGAAAAAGACAGATATTGGTTAACTTTTAGGTTCAACTGTTTTTTCTGTATTTCTTTTTTGTGTGTGTGAGTTGCTGGGGATCAAACCCAGGGACTTGTGCATGCAAGGCAAGAACTTTACCCCGGAGCCACATCCCAAGCCCACTGGTTAACTTTGAATATTTAAGAAATATTTACACTGAAAATATAAACTATTACTGAAAATTAACTTCTTTGTGCTTTCAACATTTTTCTATCAATCTGATGCTTTGATAAAGAGGATTTGTTTAGGTACACATCCTGTCTTCTCAATTTTGGATGGTAATATTCTCACTCTTACCACTGCTGCCATTTGCCCGTGTTTTCCACAGGAAGGCACCCAGCCAATTGCAGCATCCTGTTTTGTGACCATCAGGCTCACTCCCTCAGCACATCTTATCTCCCCTCAAGGTTCTCCAAATCTCCAGGAAAAGATAACACCCTCCCCAGTATAAAAAAGGCTGAAGAAACCTCTAACGGCGCTGAGAAAATTAAACTCTACCTGAATATTAACCTAAGTAATTTCCAAATACTTGCAAACTATGCCAACCTCTGCTTTTAACAATTATGATATAAACCCACACACAAATCCCTTACTCAGGACTGGGCTTTCTGTGATCTGTTTCTTCAGTAACATCTTCTTCTTCTGAACTACTGTCTTGGAACCGAGGATCTCCTTGCCAGACCATCTTTCCAGGTTTCACCGTTTCAACTTTATATGTTTCTATATCATTTTGACAATAAATAAATAAATAAATAAATAAAATGGGATTGTAACTGAGCAATCAAGTATTTCTAAACATATTCAATTGATTACTTGTACCATGTATATATATCTAAATTTTCAGTATGTTAATCATTAATTTAAAAATAGGTAGTATCTTATTCTTCCTTCCTTTTTCTTCTGCAGAGCTAGAGATCAAACCCAGGATCCTGTGCATCCTAGGCAAGTACTCTACTACTCTACTCTATATCCCCACCCCCTAAAATAAGTAACATCTTCCTCAATTTTCAAATATTGGAACAAGCTACCATCTTAATTTTGACATTGCTAAGAATGATTGAAGAGGGAACATAATAGCATTATAAACAGGCATAAAAATAAAGGTTTATAAGTGAGAAATATAATTTTTAAAAAGAACAAAATAGCCATGGCAAATATAGCCAACAAAGAGCTTCTGTGCTAGCCAGAGAAGCCTAAATGAAATACAACATGATTTTTTTCTTTTTTTTTTTTTTTTTTTGGCACTGGGAATCGAACTCTCGACCTCCAGGCAGGCTCTGTGCTGCTGAGCTATATTCCCAGCCTACAGCATGACTTAGTAAAACCAGATTTCTATGCTGGTGGGAAAAGGGATATATCTTTACATTTTCAATTCCCAACATCTCTTTCTAGAACCACTGAAAAAGCTACTGCTATAGGAACTGAAGAGTTGTCATATAAGTCTTCAAAACTTCTCAGCTACTGAAAAAAATCTGTGGTGACTCTGAATCACTTTGAGGCCAATTTCTTACACTTGGCTCTCTATGCCCCTTAGCTCCACTCAGTTTTTTAGGACTGACTCTGGTATTTAAAGAACATAAAATAAGCAGAGCATAAAATGAAACTAGAATATTGCAGGACTTCCTTCTGGACTATCATAGAGCAGACATTTGATATTTATCTGCTATATGCATACATAATATTTTAAGGGTTGATCTTTCAAACAGAATCAATATACTTGTGCATGCATTTTGCTGGATAGGTGTACCCTGTTGTTTACTTTGTTTTTGGTGGTAGTAGGAACTGCAACCAAAGCTTTTGTACCCAAGGACTTGTAGTGTGTCATTCACAGCCTTTTTAAAAAAAATTTGATACAGGCTCTTACTAAGTTGCACAGGCTGGGCTCAACCTTGCAATCCTCCTGCCTCAACCCCGCTCACCCTGGGATTACAGTAATGTGCCATAATGCCAGGCTTATCCTGCCTTTTTTTTTTTTTTTTTGGTGTTTTTGAGGCAGGGTCTCACTATGCAGTTCAGGCTGGCCTTGAGCTCACTCTGTAGCTCAGGCTGTCTCGAACTTGTGAGGATCTTTCTGCCTCAGCCTCCCATGTGCTGGGATTATAGGTGTGCGCCACCATGCCTGACTTACCCTGCTTTTTATAATGAACTTCCAGAAAGCTATACACATATCTTGAACACTAGTATGGAGCAGCCTCCTAAAGAACATGTATTTTCACATGTGGCCTGGATTGGCCTAAAAAGATAAATCTTCTGAAATAGTATGCAAAATTGCAGGTGTTGTACACTTTTCTCTAGGTTCTGGCAAATATCCAAGGTTAAAGTTTGAGATAACTGGCATATTGATGATATAGTATGTTCGTATACAATCAAAGATACCTACTTCTTTCTCCTATCATTTACAGCGCAAGTTTTTTGTAAGTCATGGCATCTGCAACTGCACTGAAGAAATGGAGTGATTCAAATAATTTATTTTACTTCTTCATGATAGTTTTTATATAAGAAGAATGAATACAGTAAATTATTATTTGGCTTCCTTTATATGGAGCTAGCCAGAAACGTGCTCCTTTAAAAGCAAAACATGTTTCTTTCACCTTTAGGAAAGTGACATTTACAATCATGCAGCATTGAATCTCCTATTGTTCATCTAGGTCAAAGAATCCTTTATTCAGACAATGTTAAATCCATTTCACTTAATGGAGACTGCATCAATCAAATACAATCTGCCTGAAATGATAATGTGGGAGAAAAAGAAAAGTACCTTCTTTTACATCTTTAGAGTCTGAATCAAAAAAAGAGAACATAAACCCGCTGGGCTGCTCGGCCTCACTCATCAGGGCTGCACCACCATGGCCTTTCTCCTCCTGCTCTCCAGCACAGGCCTCGCGCTGGGGTGCATCTTCTTCCTTTTCACAGGTATCTTTTGTAGCTTGGAATATGTCTTTCAAGTCTGCAGCGATGTTATAATACATATCTTTGGACACTTCCGGTAGCTTCTCAGCTTCTTCCCTTTTCTTCTTCCGTTTTGCTTTGCTGGAATGACATACATAGACAGGTACACATAGAAAGAAATTTTGGAAATTTCTGAAATTCAGAGAAAGTAAACTGCTTGGATAATTTTACCCCCACCTTCTTGGATAACTTTAATTCCATCCTTTTAACTAAGAATACTCACATAGATTCCTGACCAATAAGCTTTTTTAAAAACATAAAACTGTTGCAAACAGATACAAATACTAAATACAAAACACATTCTTCTATCTCTTAACTTCTACACTACGTTTCAGAAATTATACTGAACTGAACTTGATGATGTACACCTATAATCCCAGTACTTGGGAGGCTGAGGCAGGAGGATCCCTATGAGTTCAAGGCCAGCCTGGGCTACATAGTGAGTTTAAATCCAGCCTGGACTACACAGTGAGACCCTATCTCAAAAATTAAAAAAAGAAATTGTGCCAAAACCATTAGCTATATGGAAATTACTTAGCTTAAGGGTACCTGAAGTTTCCCCATCTCCAAAATGAACATGACCTCTAAGATCATTTTAAATTCTAAAAGTGTGAATTTTACAAAAGTGATAGAAAATAAATTATTCAGTTTTAGAAACAAATTGCAAATGTGCTAAGTTTAATTTCTTTTGAAATGAAATTTTTATGTTGTTACAATTCTTCTCTACATTTAGGAATGGATATGCTTTTTGACCTCAGACAAAAAGTTAGATGGCCATTTCCAATATTGAGATTTTAACTAATGAAACATTAAAATCCTTTTCAGCTCTTTGGGAGGCTGAAGCATGAAGACTGTAAGTTTTCAGTTACTCTCACCAATTTAGTGAGACCTTGTCTCAAAACAAAACAAAACAAAACAAAACAAAACAAAACAAAACAAAATGAAAAAGGGCTGGGGATCTAGCTCAGTGATAGTGTTCCCAGGGTTCAATGCCCATTACCACATCCAAGCACACACAAGTTAAAATCCTTCGTCCTACTAGTCTCCCTTCCATGATAAGCCAGAAGTTCTTAATGACTTATCTACAATGTAAGTAAACAGACTGTCTTAATTAAATAACCTACAGACCATGTCAAAGAAAAAAACTTCGTATTTCATAAAATAAACCAAACTGGCTAGATTTGAAGACAGATGTGCCTCTTACAAAACTGAGCTGAATTAAAAAATAGTGTCCATACAACAGTTCCAGGTCATTCAGAAACTCCTTGACATCTTTGAAGAGGTGCAAGTAACTTCCTCACCCCTTGAGCATGGGGTGGAGTAGTAAACTATTTTAATGAAGAGATTAGGCAGATGTGATAGCATGTAACTCTGAGACTAAGGGCATAGTAAGAACTTAACAGGTCTTGAAGATACCGTTAGTAGAAACTACACAGCCTTCGAGGAGACTGTAGGTAAGCATGATAGAAACTGGGAGAAAGGGATCCTTGTCATGTAGTGGCACAAAGATGACCAACACTGGTACCTGTATTAATGGCCTAATAATCTGGGTGGTCCAGCTAAGCAGATCCAGGAAAATGTAGAAAGTATTTATTTGTCTGTTTACTTCTAGCTGCTTATAGTAAAATGAGAGAAGAGAGAAACTAATTAAAGAGGGAAAAAGAATGGTTTTAAAACAGCCAGAACCTCATGGTTTTGAAGATTCCTAATCCCTCAGAAGGCAAATGACATGTAACTTAAGAAATGGCTTATAAGCAAAGATTGACTCTATGACCCAGGAGCCACCTCCATGATGCTGACTGTGTGTCTTAACTGTACATCAAGTTTTTTTTTATAGTTTGAAATGACTGGGGTAAAATAGAGATGATTTCATGATATGTAAAAACTATATACAAGGGAAATTTCAGCATCTAGTAATACTTTTATTAGAACACATTTTTCTCATATTCTACTTTTCTATTACAAAGGTACAGGGGAGTCATCATAACAGAGGTTGTTGGGCAAGCAAAGCCTGTAATATTTCCTATCTGGCCCATTATAGAAAAATCTATATACCTTGGTTTAAAAATACAACAAAACCCTTTGTTAAGAATTTTTTTTTTTTTTGTACTGGGAATCCAAATGAGGACCTCGTGCTTGGCCAGGCAGCTTTAAGATTGTAGACAGAAAAACAAATGTAGACAGAGCTAATAAACTTCAGTTGTTCAAACAAAAGTTCCTCTATGGGAGTTAAAGGCACTGTATCTTGGCAGCTTAATGGAACTGTAAGGTAAAGATAGCTTGATTTACCTTTCTTTTGGTTTATCATCTTTTGTTCTTTCGTAAGTGACGTGGTCATGCCTCGTTGGATCATAACGTATGATGTCCCTAATGATGTGAAAAAGAAAAAAAAAGGTTGGAAGAGATAAATCAAAACCGTAGTGTAATACTTAATAGCAAATTTTTTGGGGAAAATGAGGCTAAATGATATCAAACGAGTATTATAATCTTGTAAGAAATAGTATTTTATTTTTTCTTGCCACTTCCCAGAGCTTTCTTTTCATTTTAAAAAGAAAAAAAAATTTCAAAGATCTATTGCCTTTTTTGTCTTTAAATTGTGAGTAGTCTTTTTTTTAATTTCTTTTTTTCTGGTACTGGGAATCGAACTCAGGACCTTCCTCTTGCCAGGCAGGTGCTTGTGCCACTGAGCTACATCCCCAGCCTCAAAACACGGTAATAGGAGGATAACAACGGTTAATACGTTGTATATTGTTATCTTTAAATTAGTTACTCAGAGTACAAGATATCAGCATTTAATTGTCCAAAAAAATATTAGCACAAACCTTTCTTTTCAACGAACTAAGAGAACTTGGTAGTGTAACTAACTTAACTATCTTTTATATACATATTATTTTTATTTATGTATTTATTTATTGGCTTTTCCCTTCCTTCTTTTTTCCATTCTCCCAAATCAGTTTTTCTTTCCTTTTGACCCCCATTTTACAATATCTACTATACATTTTGGATCTTATTTACTCTTTTAGCTTCTTACACTAGGGAGACAATACAATGTTTACACATGTGCATGTGGTTTATTTCACTTATGAGTATGGGCTCAAGTTGCATCCATTTACCTATTAAAGTCTCCAGTTAGAAAGACTATTTTTAAAGTATCAGCTTTTGAGTTTTCCTGAATCTTTTGTTACTATTCTAAGCATACTATAAATACATATAGATAAAATAATATAGTATCTAGAATTTGCATAAAATATTCCACTGGATAAGGCAAGGGTTGTAGATTAAAAAAAAAAAAATGGTTATGTGTTGGTAATCTTTTTTGTGGGGGGCAAGGTTTGACAGAGTCTCACCATATAGCCCAGGCAGGCCTTAAACTTGCTACGATCCTCCTGCCTCAGCCTCTCAAGTGCTGGGATTACAGTATGTGCCACTGTGCTCGGCTGTGTTGAGTGATCTTAGAAGCTTGCATACTGAGGTTTTATTACACTTGTCTCTCTAAACTGAAATTTTCCATAATAGTTATATTTACATAACTTAGTAATTTTTGGAGTTAATATTTAAAATGCTTTTAAGTTGTTTCACTAATGGAAGTAATGCTGGTAAGACATCTATGTATGTAAAGAAAGGGATAACATCTATGTAAGTAAATAAAGAAACCATTTAAGATTGGTTTCTTGAAAGGTAAGAATATTTTAAAGAATCTAAAAGATGATGCCAACTGCTCTGCCTAGTAAGTAAAAAATGACCCAGCGAAACTAAGGGTATACCTCAGTGATGCAGTGCTTGCCTAGCACTCATGGAAAGCCCTCAGGTCAATCTCCAGTACGGCAGAAAAGTAAGAACAAGTAAAAGGCCTAGTTTTAAACTCAGTTAAAAAAGGCATTTATGGCAAAAAAAAATATGGTAGAATGGGATAGAATATAAACCATACTTAAATTTCTTAGCAGCTCCTGGTCCTTTGCCTGTAGTGTTGTTTAACTTGATGTTCAAAACACTTTGGATAACATTCAGAGCTTTCTTTTTTTCTGCAGCAAGCTCTTCTTCCTCAGCTGTTTTTTTTTCATTGACCTCTTTCAGGAAATAAGATAATGAGTGTCTTTTGACAAATATAACTTGAAAAATATCAATCACCCAATACTTAAAACAAGCACTTAGGGCTGGGGATTTAGCTCAGCGGCAAAGCGCCTGCCTGGCAAGTGCAAGGTCGTGAGTTCGGTTCCTGGTACCGGAGAAAAACCAAACCAAAAAAAACAAGCACTTAAACATATCCATTGTGTATCCGGAGGGAAGAAAAGTCTGCCTGCATTTCACTAACTTCCCCTGCACAAGACTTCATAGTACAGCAAACTGAAAAATCACATGAGCAGCAAATAAAATGTTCCACTTTTACTTGTAATTATGAAAATGAAATTTGGATTTAATAGCTTTTGTGGTAAGTCTAAAATGTTAACAGTAAGACTGAATGCACCAAGATGCTAATTACAAAACTAAAGTGATCACAGGCTTTGATATCTTTAACATTCAAAAAATATACTCTATGTTGAGTTTGGTGGCACACACCTGTAATCCCAGCACTCATGAGGCTGAGGCAGGAGGATCACTGTGAGTCTGAGGGCAGGTTGGGTTACAAAGTAAGTTCAAAGCCAGTTTGAACTTTACAGTGAAACCTTGTCTCACAGACCAAACAGAAAAAGAAAAAAATATATATACTCTAGATTACATAGAAAAATGATAAAGATAGGGAACGATAAATTTACTGACATGCTTTCTACTCCAGGTGGAATATGAGGTGGGAAAGACAGAGCAGATCCTCAGAAGTGCGAGGAGGCACATACAAAACAAAGGAAACACACACACCAACGCAGCAGAGTGCTGGGAGTTTATATTACTAGGTTGAAACATGAAAATGCTAACTAGAGACCATACTCGTAAGTGAAATAAATCAGACCTGCACGTTTAAGCAACATATTGTCTTACTAATGTAAGAACATGGAAGAGTGAATAAAAACTAGGAGGTATGATAGACACTGTGAAACGAAAGGAAAATGCTCAAAAGTATAGGGCAAGTGGGCTGTGGGAAATGAGATGGGAAAGAAGGGTAAAGTATGTATGTATGTATATACAGGATAGCTAACATAGTTGTTCTACTGTCTTCTATTGCTTAACTGTAAGGAATAGTTAATGATTATTTGTTTGATCAATCTTGCATGTCTCTGTTTGTTTTCCTGAGAAATCACTTTGAAGATAGCAATATGTAATACAACAACCGTTGTTAATTTCCTACAACTTTGTCTGTAATTCTGTGTTGTTTGTATTGTTCTTATGCTATTTTGTAAATGGATGTCTATTTGTTAATATATTTTCCTTCTTTTATTTTTAAAATAAATTAAAAAAAAAACCCATAATTTTAGTTTCCAAAATCAGCAACTTTAAATTTTAACCTAATAGTAATCATTAGGGAAGCAGAATACAACAATAAGAAGGGGTGGAGGTGATGTAGTCTGGTTGTACATTTTATTTGTGGGATAGACAAAAAAATTGTGCGTCAGAAATTGGGAGAAAAAAAAGTTAGGAAGGAAAAGAAGATGACAGAGGAGCCATCTGGAGAAATGCCACGGCACTTGAGAAGTTGTTCTGGGTTCTGAAACAGACAAGAGCACAGGAGGTAGCAGAGTAACCACCATGTTTAACTTAACACAATGGAGGCTCTTGGCTCTTGAGATTCCACTCATACCTGAACTTTCCACATAGGATTCTGAGTGGAAGATCTGAAGTCAAGTGTCAGGTTGGACACATAAACTGGTAAGGACCATGAAAAACTTAGCAGAACCTTAGCTTCTCAAAGTGTAGAATACTGATGATAATTCTCCAGAGCAATCAACAGACTCATCAGAAATTATCAGAGAAAGAGGATGTCAGGAATGCAAAGGAGGTGAGGACTAGGATGCAAATTAGATGAACCTAGGAGGGTGAAGAAATACCAAAGAAGACAAGCTAGAGGTTCTGAAATTAGGAGAGGGATTTGGGGAGAGGTTATTCAAGGTGGCCTTATATGACATAAAATCTTTTTTTTTCTTTTTTTGGAGAGACAAGGTTTCACTATATAGTGTAGGCTGGCCTCAAATCTGTTGCAGTCTTCCTGCCTCAGCCTCCTGAGTGCTGGGATTACAGGCATGTATCACACCTGGTAGAAAGTAAGATTTTATAGATAATGTGGACCCACAGTTATAAAAAAAAGGCCTTAAGAAGTAGGATTAGGATACCTCTAATAGCATCATTCTTCTCATATCTCTAAGGGTGAATTCAATAGAACAACATTCAATGGTACTCTGCTTTTTAAAAAACATGCACCCAGCATGCATACCAGTGGAAGACAAGAGACTTTTCCCATTAGAAAACCAAGGGTAATGTAACTATCCTTCACAGCCTCCATAAACCTGCCACACTGCTGAGAAGGACCGCCAGGGACTCACCTTCCTCTTAGGCCAGGAGTGGAATGTAAGAAATTGTATGTTTGGTGGATGCTGTCTAATCCTGTCCTATTCAGCAGCTTCAAGGAATTAAATTTTACTAAGTAAATATATGAAACAAATTTATTAACCAAAAACATGTGAATACAAACTCTCCAAAGTCTCACGGGTAGAGTTTCTTCATGTATTTAATGATGGAGATTTCTTACATTGCTAGTTCTGACATTAAGACCTTTTGGACAATGAAGCATTTACCTTCTTGTTCCTCTTCACTGTCACTCTCTAGAAATCTAGAGTCCATGCGGAATCTGTCGTCACTGCCAAAGTGCAACTGTAAATCCATGAGCTACACAGACAAAAAGTAGACACAATTGACAACCACATTCCCAAGAAACTGCTTCTAAAGAAGACTCTCCAAGTGCACCTCCTCAGCCCTGAAATTCACATGGACAACATCTGCATAACGTCACCTGCCCTGGAGTCAACTAGAAGCTCAAAAAGAGTCCCTCACTCAAGAGTCCCTCCCCAGAGAAACACCCCTGCCCTGTAATGCAGGTCCAGACCTGCTCAGCTTTACCTAGGAAAGGACTATGGAAAACTAAGAGATGCTATGAGTTTTTTAGTTATTAGTCTTCACGAACCTTTTGTCCAGCTCTGCCCTCAAACTGAGGTTTAATTTTGAACCTGTCATTGTCATCCTCAGAACCCGATTCCTCTTCTTCGTCACTGTTAAATAGCTTCCCAGATGCTTTAGCCATGGATTCCTGCTATATACATGAAAAGAGAAACATTTATTAACTGAGGCAACTAGCATTTCTTTCATAATGAAGTCTCACCATATTTAAAAACAACCCAGATAAATATAGCATGAACAAGTAGATGGTGGACTGGATGGAAACTCCTGACTCAAGGCTCACTAACTGGCTCTTATGGACTCCCCAATGCCAGCTGGAGTTGTGGGGGGCAGAACAGTCTCTGCCGTCTTCCACTAATATTGACGTGACTTTGCAGATGATGTAGAAAACATGGGTTTATGTGGGCTAAGACCTCCAGGACTCTGGTTTCTCAGTGTGCAGGGGCTTGGGCAGACCTGGGTCTCATTATAGCTCCCAGGAGGATTTCTGGCCAAACTGGCCATTTTATGGAGGTCTTAGAATGGAATGGACAGACGTGGACATGCGAAGTAGACTAATGTCTACAGGGACATCTGGTACATCTTACTTTTATCAGCTCTTCTCCTGGCAGGTTTTGCTCTTGAGTGGATGTCTCCTCAATTTCACTTTCACTGTCAGAGCCAAATATGATATGTGTTGGCTTGTCCTGTGGAGGTCCATCCTAAGGAATCCATTAGAAGCATCACAATTTAAGACAACCCAACCTCACAGCAAAATTTATCCAATCTCATCATTTCCTTCCCCTGCTATCCTTCCCACTCTTATTTACTGAATGCCATTATCATCTGCTCTTCATCCAAAACCAAACTCAGGACTTCTTTTTCTCCATATCCAATGAACACCACCAAGTCCTCTAAATCCAACCTTCTTGGTATCTTGTTTGTTTGTGAGATAGGGTCTCACTCCATAATTCAGGCTGGTGTTGAACTTCCTATATAATCCAGGTTGGCCTTGAACTTGTGGTGATCCTCACTTCAAGTGCTGGGATTACAGGTGTGCACCACTACACCTGGCCTTCTTGGGACCTTTAAATCTATTCCCACCACTGCTGCCTTGGTTTCGGCCCTCCAGCTCCCAAAGTCTCTGCCTCCAGATTTGAACCATACAATTCATTTTCATCCTGACCTGAAAGGATCTTTCCTAAATAGAGGCTGAAAAACTTTTTCTTTAAAAGATCAAAGAATAAATGTTATAGACTCTGCAGGCCACATATAGACTCTTTCCTGTATTTAAAAACTATTCTAAGCTTGAAGGCAATATATAAACAAGTCATAGGCTATATGGCCTGAGAGCTGTAGTTTCCCAACCCCTGTTCTAGAATTAAAATTCTTCACTGTTTTTCACAACCTTAAGAATGAAGTCTAGGGGCTGGGGATTTAGCTCAGCGGCAAAAGCGCCTGCCTGGCAAGCGCAAGGTCATGAGTTCGGTTCCTGGTACCGGAGAAAAACCAAAAAAAAAAAAAAAAAAGAATGAAGTCTAATTTTGACAACCTCTGCAAGCTCATCCCCATTTATCACTCTGGCCTCATTTTTTGCTACCTCACATTCTACAAATCTCAATCTTACTGACTAAAATTGTTCACCTTTGAACAAACTGCTCACCTTTCTTGGAACACCTTCACCTTTTCTGCTCATTTGCCACTCATTTCTACTTATCCCTTCACCCGTCTCAGCTCAGGAAGCCTCCTGACCAGCTTGGTGCCCCACTGGAGTAGACCACAAATGTCCACTCATCACACTATGAGCCAATAGCTGCATGAAAGGCAGGATCATCATCCATGACCTATCAATCTAGCATGTAAAAATGGACTATTAGAGCAAAGTACAAGGCTCATTACAGTGAGTGTTAGCAAGCTCTGGCAAGATACAAATCACTTTGAAGTCATTATACCTGTTAACAGTTTCTAAATGAAAACCATCAAGGTACTACTTGGAGGCCAAGGCAGGAGGATTGCAAGCTCAAGGCCAGCATGGGCAACTTAGTGAGAACATGTCTCAAAACTTAAAAAAAATAGAAGGGCAAGGGATGCTATGTGACGCTCTGGTTCAATGTCCAGTACTGAAAGTGAAAAAAAAGATAAAACAATGAAGAAACTTTTGGGGATATTTTGTGTGTGTGATGGGGACCAAACCCACAGCTGGATGTGTGCTAGACAAATGATGTACCTCTGAGCCACATTCCCAGGCCCTAAACAAAATTTTACATAAATGTTTTCTATAAATATTAGAGTTTAATTTCACTTCCTTTGGGATGCAATATTTAATTTAGGATGATAGAAGCTTCTAATTCAAGGACATAAAATCTGCCAGTGGTTAAAACTAAGAAAACAATGAGCTCCAAGGAGGCACACTTTCACGGAAAGGAAGACCTGGACTTTTAAAAGTGTTCTTACCCATGTCTTGTACTCTGAGTCATTGCTTTAAGGACAGTAATATGCAATGTATTAACTATTTTTTTTTTTTTTTGTGTATTGGGAATTGAACTCAGGACTTTGCACTTGCCAGGCAGGGGCTGTGCTGCTGAGCTATATCCCCGGCCCTTTATTGTTATTCTCCTATGATCTTGTTATGAAATTTTGTTTTACCTTTTCTCCATTAAAAAAAAAAATGTTCCAATAAAACCCACATACTGAGAATATACTTACTAAATTTGCCAGTGCATTGTGCACCAGCTGCTTCTGTGTTTCTTTTGCTTTCTGCCTTGCCGCCAAGGCCGCCAAACGCTTCTGATTATCTTCAGCAGGCTTAGTCTGAGCATCCATACTTAATGAGTTATTAACGGAAAGTGAGAAGTCAGCTGTGCTCTCCCGAGTATCCTCCCTGTGAGAGTGCTTTGGTGGTTTTCCATGAGATGTGACACTTCTGGAATTAGACTTCTCTTTGTCTCTATGTTGGGTACCATGGCAACTATCTTTATCAAACCCTATCTTGTGAATCTTTGAACCAAGACTTAAAGATTTCTTACCTTTTAATGGCAATAGACTAGAAAGATTTCCACCTTCCTTGTCTGAACTGCTTGGGGAGACCACCTTGTGATCTTGAGTCTCACAAGTGAACTGTCTTGGAGGTTGAATGTGACTTGGGCCATTTGTCTTCTTTGTATGTTGCCATGTAGTTAGTTTGCTTGGTGAGCCATTAGCATGTGGCAACTCATTTTCTATTGAGACGCTACTGGAGTCCCCATGTTTCAAGGAACCTAGTTCTTTACTGGTATTATTTGAGGCAATATTCAAGGTCTTTTTCACTGATTCCTTTCCATACAGACAGCCTACTCCCTTGAATGCCTGAAATTTTGGCTTTTTCTCATCTTCCTTTGGTTTCTGCTTACCATAGGTGCTTTCCTCCTCTAAAAGGGAAGCCAGAATCTCCTCAGGACAAATGCACTGTTTGCCTGGGTAGATGCCACGGGGCGTCTTGGGGCTCTTGCACATTCTATCAAACTTACAGCTTGTGGCAGTTTGTGGGTCACTGCTCTCAGCATCTTCTGGAGCCCCCAGATTACTGCTCGCCAGCTGTTCCAAATCAGCCAAAGTGAGATTCACTCGGGGACAGTTTTTCATCATGGTTTCATATTCTTCATCTCCTTCAGACTCCTCACTGTCACTGATGCTGGAATCAGATGGAGACTTACAATTAAGAGGCTTCATTCCGTCACTAAGGGCTGATTCTTTGTTGTTTTTTCTTTTTTGTAGTTTATTACAATGATTGGAAAACTCTTTCTTTTTGAAAGATTTCTTGCTTATAGGTTTTTCTGCCTGAGAAAATTCTGTACTATTTTTTACTTTACTGATGTTTTTTTTCATTGCAATGATTTCATCGGTATCACCTGAATCATACTCATAATCGTTTCCCATAATATTGTCATTAACACTGCAAGAGAATTTATTCATACACAGACTTGATAAAGAATTAAGTTTATGAACATCTGATTTGAAATCATCCCTTACAACTTCAAAGGGATCATTTTCAGATTCACTGATGGAGGACCATGAGGTTCTCTGTAACTTTTCCTCTTTTGCAATTATCATTCTTAATTCATCTTCAGAATCAATATCATCATCAGACATGCTATTTATCTTCTTGACAGTTTCCAAGCAAGAAGTCTGACAAAGTATATTTTTAAGTTTTTGAGCATCAGAATCAAGCATAGGGTGTGATTTAGAAAAAGTAATGGAATCACGAGGTGTTTTTTGTGTAGCTTGTTGCTGTGGTGATAAGTTTTTCTCCATTACCCTATTGGTCCTGGGATTCACAGTGGAACCCTGGCCCTGCTGTACTTTCATGATCTTCTTAGGAGTACTGAGAAAGTCAGAGAACTCTCCTCGCCGCTTCTTACTCATTGGGTCATTGCCTCCTTCCAGTTCCCAAGTGAGCCTAGTTATAGGAATGGTATTTGTGAAATCCTCCCCTATCTTCTTTAGGTTGTGGCAGTATTTTGATGGATCATATTTCATGATGTTACCCACAGTCAAGGAACTAAGCAAAGGCACTTAACTGTTCAGGAAATGCATTAGTCTGGTAGAAAAAAAAAAAAGTGTTGAATCTCAAGCAAGCCATTTACTTCATCTTACTCTTTAATTTCTTACTGAGATTATCAAATGAGTAACCCTTCAGGGTTGATGAAATTGAGCTCTTTGTGACATTTCCAGAGTTAAAACTACCATCATTTGGCAGAACTTACTTAGACTGTACAGACATTATAGCAAACCCTCTGATAATATATACATACCCTCGACACCACCCCTTCAAGGTCTCAAACTGGTCTCACTGAACAGGAATCAAAATTTGCCTGGTCTCAACACTATTTCTTTGTTCACCATTCTCCCACTGGCCTGCATATTTTTGTGTGATATTTTCCATTTTCCTCTTTCTAGAGCCACTTCCTACCACTCTTTTTTGCGGGGGAGGGGTTGGTACTGGAGATTGAACACAGCACCTTTATACTGGGCTATCACCCAGCCTCCTTTTAATTTTTTGCTTTGTGATAAGGTCTTGCTAAGCTTCCCAGTCTGGGCTCAAGCTTGCAATCCGTCTGTTTTGGCTTCCCACCATGCCAGGATTACAGGTCTGCACTGCCATGTCTAGCTACTGTCCACTACTTTTCTAGTAATTTGAAAACCATCTCAGTTCTTCTAAAGCCTTTTATAATGAGCCCTTGTTCTTTCATCCCTTTACAGCTATAATTGTTGTGAATCCATATGCAACATGATGTATAAAGTCATAAATAAAAACTGCTTCGTTGGCATTCATCATTCATATTTCTTAATTTGTATTTAATTATGTAAAAACCTCATAACATTTTCTCATAATTTTCTTTTTTATTAAATTTTTTTTAAAGTAATTCTGTAATTGTTTTATACATGTACTTACTTTGCCTAGAAAGTGGGAACATAAGAACTTTTTTTTGGTCCTGAGAACTGAACTCACGACCTCGTGCTTGCCAGGCGGGTGCTATGCTGCTCAGCTATATCCCTGGCCCTTTGCAACATAAAAACATTTAAATCACAGCCAGGTGTAGTGGTGCATACCGGTAATCCCAGCACTTGGGAGGCTGAGGCAGGAGGATTGTTGTGAGTTTGAGGCCAGTCTGGGCTACAAAGTGAGTTTAAGACCAGCCTCAACTGCAGAGTGAAACCTTGTCTCAGAAAGACCAAAAAACCTTTAAATCAACACCCAACTATTTATTGATCAAGGCCATGCAGTTATAAATGCATTTTGCAAGTAACATCAGACTGGTAAATAAATACTGAGAGGTTAATCACAAAGGATATTTTACGTTTATGTTGATTCTTAAGGTGAAGAATGGGTAAGACTCTTCCAAATTTACTGACCACCCAATTCTAGAGAGAGAGAAAAATTGAATGTATTTACAATATACAGTATATAGCACAAATATAAACAAAGTAACAACACACAAATGTAATTTTTAAAAAGTTGAACTCATAGTGAGCCATTATTACTGTTGGACCTAGCTTTGTGACAATGAAAAAATATTTATCAATGAGAAAAAGTGTGAGAGAAAAGAAAAAAGAGAAAATTTAGAGCAACTATGAATTCTAAATAGCATGGAGGATAGTAAATAAAATACTCCACCTATCCATCTATTATAAAGGCAAACTTGGAATGACCCGTACTTCTCACACTTATATCCCCTGATACACTGCATCTGCCTGGGCTTTGACTTTTTTCTCTTTAAAATGACAAGGAACTATGCTTATCTAAGTTATACATACACTTTGAAAAACATAAAGTGGTACCTATGTTAACTACTTCAAAGGAAGAGGGGGAAAAAGCGACTAGCTTTAGATAAGACACCACAATGATGTCAGTTGTCAGTTCCTGGGCTGGCTCAGGCTACCAGAGGAGACTCACCTTGTGCCCTGGTACTTCTGTCCCTGGCACAGCTTTCATATGGAAATCCACCCCTCCCATCTTTTCCAACAAGTTGGTGCTGCCTGTTGATTTTTCTTTCTCTGCTTTTGCTTCTTCTCTTTCTTGGGCCAATCTGAATCAAAGGGAAAATATAATTAAGAGTTGAAATGATCAATCATAGAAAATGGTAATTTTCCTTCAGTTGATCCTAAACATTGTAAACAGCTTTATAGTATGAAAAACCAAAAGAAACAAAATATGGTTCCTTATGCATACTCTATTGTTAAATTTTTGTCTAGTTACTTCAGCTTCGTTCTATACATAAATACATACATTTTAAAATGTCATCTAGATAATTCTGTAGGTATAGTTGGGGTAACCTTTTCAAAACTTTTGCCAAGTGTGGTGGGACGTGCCTGTAATCTCAGCTGAGGCAGGAGGATTGCCACAAGTTTGAGGTCAACCTGGGCTACATACTGAGTTCAAGATTAGCCTAGGCTACATAATGAGACCCTATTTCAAAAAGACAAAAAGAAAAAAAAACAAAAAAAACCCCCACTTATCATTATATGTTCTTTGAAAACATTTTTCTGATCACTGTACAACATGTACTGCATAAATCTATTTATCAGGGTCCCGCTGCAGCCAACTGAACAGTAGAGGGCTGAGCATGAAGGCTTCTTTCCTCCTGACCTGCCTTCTCCAGGCTCTGGTGTCCACCCTGACATCTTTGTTCTGCTCCAGCAGATGTCTTACTTCCCTTTGATAGATAACCAAGACCACCAATCACAAACTCCCTCAATTCTCCCTCAATTCTTAAATTCTTCAATTTAAGAACTTTTGGCATTGTATGTATCCTCCTCCCTTTACTCCTGCCGATGAGGAAGACATGTCCTTATGTAGCCTAACTTCTTGTGATAGTTTCTGCCCTCCTAATGCAGAGAATGCCATTTCAACCTTCCAATTCAAATTATCCCAACTCATTCAGGCTTCCATAACTTCTCTGACCAATCCACAATGGTCTCTTGGCCTCTGCTCTGTCTCCCAGTTTTTCCTTCCTAGCCATGCTCCTCTAGCACATTTGCTCCATGCTCCAAGACAGCAGCACCTTTTGCTGTCCCTGCTGGGCACATGCTAGCAGGGCCTGCCCATGGTCATACTCAAATGCTGCTGAATGGAAAGTGCATGATTGCTCTAGTCACAGCCAGAAACAAAATCAGATTCTTACCTTTCCCATAAGACCAGTCACCTCAAACATGTGCCAGTGAGCTGCTTGCCACTTGCTTTAGACTGTATCCTTCCTTGGTTTGGGACAATCTTATCAATTTTCCTGGTTATTCCATTCACATATTCTTTCTTTCTTTCTTTTTGTTTTTTTGAGACAGGGTCTTATTATGCAGTTTAGGCTACCTTGAACGCACTGTGTAGCCCAGGCTGGCCTTGTACTCATGGCAATCCTCTTGCCTTTGCCTCCTAAGTGCTGGGATTATAGGCATGCACCACCATGCCTGACTTCTATTCATATATTTTTAAAATGTTTCCCAATTCAAAAGTTCCCAAACTAGCTGGGCATGGTGGTGCATGCCTGTAATCCTAGTACTTGGGAGGCTGAGGTAGAAGGATCCTTACAAGTTCAAGACCAACTTAGGCTACAAAGAGAGCTCAAGGTCAGCCCGAACTGTATAGTAAGACCCTGTCTCAAAAAGACAAAAACAAAAACAAAAAACCCCCCAAAAAGAAAGTTCCCAAACTAATCTTTCCTTTTGAAAATTTATCTTTAGATTTTTTTTAATTCTAAAGGTTACACTGCTTTGTTCTTAAATTACTTTTATTCCTGTATCTATAACAATCTTTATATTTTTCTATGATACAGCATTAGTCTAAATCAACACAAATAATTCAATAGTGTATTATAATTCTACCTGTACATAACCCTAAGACTCAGTAATACCTTTTTTGTTTTGGGGTTTTTTTTGGTGGTACCAAGGATTGCACCCAAGGCCTTGCACATGCCAGTTAAGCACTCTTCCAATGAGCTACATTCCCAGTCATGCAACTGCACTTTCTTTTTTCTTTTTGTCTTTTTGAGACATGGTCTTGCTGTGCAGTTCAGGCTGGCCTTGAGCCCACTCTGTAGTCAAGGCTGGGTTTGAACTCACAATGATCCTCCTGCCTCAGCCCAGCCTCTCAAGTGCTGGGATTACAGGTGTGCACCACCATGCCCGGCTGTAACTGCATTTTCTGATGCAAATCCCAGAAAAACATTTATGCACATGCAGGATCATCTACAATCATAAAAAGGTGGAAACAGTCTAAATGTCATCAGTAGAAGGGAGAAACTACTCTGTGGTACAACTATTCTCGGAATTTCTTTTTCTTTTTTTTTTTTTTTTGGTGCTGGGAATCGAACTCAGGACCTTGCACTTGCCAGGCAAGCACTTGTGCCACTGAGCTACATCCCTAGACCTATTTTCTGAAATTGTACCGATAGTCATTACAAAAAAGGGGAAAGGTTACGTATGCCAGAAAAAAATCACTTTAACAAAGAAAATACAGTAAATATACAATTTTTTATAGTTTAATATACACAGAGGTAACTGTACTGCATTAATTCTCTTTTGGTAGGGTCTGGGACAAAGAATCAGGCTTAAGAGGGACTTCAGTTGTACTTGTAAGCATTTGTTAACAATACAGTATGTTACTTGATAATTTCAAAGAAAGTGAATATATAAAACCAATACACAGAAATGGGGTCTAAATCCACGAGAAGCAACCTTACCTGTGTAAAAAGCTTTCTTTTGCTAGTTGAATTTGTAGTATTCCACCTTTCCATTTTGTTTTGTTTAAAATGGACATACCTAAAAGGTAAAGAACATGGAAATGCAAAAATATACTTCAGTGCATGTTTTTTTATAATGATTTAATATCAAAGAAAGTAGGCTTGTTTATCATAAAGAAACACAAAGAAAGTAGAGGATAAATGTAACCTGGAGAGAGAGGTAACCCAGGCTCCCATCTTACTTTGACCATTTACCTGAAAATTTCTTATGTTCCCTATCTAACAGCTGCAAAATTTATTTGCAGTTTGTTTATAAAGTAGTATCAGGAACCTTTGCTGAATACGTGACATTTATTTAATATTTTCTTATCATTTCCCAACTATAACTATGAAACATAATATTTTCATGTGGATCTGAAGAAATTTTAAAATCCTGTAGTATTTTACTTTTATCAACTCATACCAATTATCTCTGTAGAACCTGGAAAAAAATGATTACAAGCAATTGAACTATGTTTGAACTATTATGCCCTACTTGAGTTTTCTATCCATTTCCTTAATTTTCTATGTGATAAGTACTATGCTAAGTACAGACGTATTATTTAATTTAATCATTATAGTAATATGAGGCAGTATTATCTTTTTTCATTTACTGGACAAGCAAATTGGGGCTTAGACTCTTAAATTACCTGCCACAGGTAACATAGCAGAGCTTACACGTTCTTAAGCACAATTTCATGTTTCCTCAAAGAACAATACAATAATCTCTGCAAATGAAATGATAAAAGACTGATGGTCTTCCTGTCAGCAAGTATGTTCCTTTTATTTATAAGTTCTCTTTTATTTTATTTTATTTATTATTTTTAAATGTTTATTTGTAAGTTCTCTTGACTTTTTTTGTGGGGCTGGGGATTGAACTTATAGCATGCATTTAGGCTCTACATGTCTAGCCCTCTCTTAATTTTTTTTTTCAGTATTAGTGGATCAAACCACTGAGCTCCATCCATAGCTCTTTTCAAAAATGTTTTATTTTGAGACAGGGTCTTGCTGAGTTGGCAACTCAGTTTTCATTAAGTGCTAAGATCACAGGTATGTGCCACTGTGCCTAGCCTCTTTTGACTTTTTGACCTGAAAGTAACTAGAATACATTGCTGCATCAGCAGCACTGTAGACTGTGTCCCCTTCCCACTTCACTTCAATAGTGAAGGCCACCATTCACTCTCAGCTTTCTGAAGCTTAGAATAAGAGGTATCACTGTTTTAAAGATGGGCTTAAGAGGGAATAGTATTTATCAGCAATGACTAGATGACCGAGAACAGAACAGACTGAGGAGGTGTGTGGCCAAGTATTGAATAGAATATGTATAACAGCGGGTTTCTATGAAACTTTCACACCTGTCCAAATTATCTGAGAAAACCAGGTTTTAAATGTCCCTACTAGCAATATGCTACTGCAGTTTGCAGACACAAATGGAATTGACCTAACCCTGGCAAGATGGAGGATACCACAATTTCTTAATCATGGTCATAATTCAGAAGAGGCTGCTGAGATTTAGATTTAGAACCAGAGTTATTCCAAGTTATACAGTGATGTCAAAGGACAAATAGCATAGAAAATATATGATAATCTTACATTTTTTCAGTTCTGCTTCCGCTACTCTGATGTTAACATATGCAAAGACTTTCTGTGTGTTTCCTAAAAAAAGAAAAAAAAAATATTTAAAGTCTTATTTAGAGAATGTAAAAATAATGAACTTTCTAAATTTAAAACATGTTCTTAGAAATTAATTCTTTCAAAAAACAACCTTATTTTTCATTAGATACAAAGATTATATTTTTCTCTTTTTTTGAGAGGATGTAGTGGGGATAGAACCGAAGATCTTCATACTGAGCTATGTCCTCAGCATCCCTTTTATTTTGAGACAGTGTCTAGCTAAGTAGCTAAGATGTCCAGGCTGGGCTTGAACTTAAGATCCTCCTGCTTCAGCCTCCCAGGGTGGTGCCAAATCCACAGCAATACTCAACCACATGCATAAAGAACTGCCTGTAGTGGGTTAACAGTTCTAAAGATCACCTCCCACCACTCATGTCTGACTACCTGCCCATATTGGGATTATAGGTATATGTAACCACTCCAAGCTAAGACTGTATTTTCTGATTATAAAAATGTTCTAAAAGAAAATATCAGGTAATCAAGTTAAAAAAGCATTGTTTCTAAAATCATATGCTTTAGATGTTTTCCTATTTCAGAAATTAATTTTGATCAGATTCCATATGATATAAAGTGCTTCTAGGGGCTGGGGATTTAGCTCAGCGGCACAGCGCCTGCCTGGCAAGCGCAAGGTCATGAGTTCGATTCCTGGTATGGGGGGAGGTGGGAGAAACAAACTGCTTCTAAGTATCACATATCACTTTCATCATTCAGAGTTAACACTTACCTCTGGGGTTGTTTTATTTTGTAATACTTGACCTGAGTTATGTTTTCCTTTAATCATTCAGTGAAAAATTATAAATTTACCTTGGTCATCCTTTCGTGTAATGATCTCCACATCAGACACTTCTCCAAATCTGCTGAACTGATTTTGTAGATCTGTCTTAGAAATGGCTTGGCTAAGGCCACCCACAAAAAGGCGCTTTGCTTCTCTGCTGTCTTTCATGAAAGCTGGTCATATACTCGGCGTGTCCTACTAGGGAGATAATTTTCTGTACATGGAAGAGTTCTTTCTCACGGTTCTTCTCACATGTAATACCCTGAACCTTCTGTGCTAAATTAGTCTCCTGGTGTTACATTTTACTTCCTATTGTATTGCTTCCAATACTATGCCTGGAGGCTATTTAAGCCCATATCCACATTCTTTCAATGCATTATGGGACCACACCAGCATACACATATAGACACAATTATACACTACCTGTTTTATTTATTCACATTGTTGGGTGTTTTTATTTATTTGGCAGTGAGGATTGAACCCAGTGCCTCCTGCACACTAACCAAGAACTCGAGCACTGAGCTACACCCCAGCCCTTATTCTGCGCTGGGGTTTGGCTAGTGTCTCAGCCTTCCAAGGAGCTGGGATTACAGGCGTGCGCCACCATTCCTCGCTATTGTTTGTTCATACATTCTTTTCATTTTTTTCACTTAAAGCTAAAGAAGAAAAACAACTCTCTAGGTGCTCCACTGCCCTAAGAGTAATAAACAAATACTGCAATTACAATATCATGGGACAATAAAACTGTTTGCAAAGTGCGCTGTTCAGGCACCAAAAGAGCCGCTGATATGAGAGCTACTATAGATAATCCGGGTCTCCTGGAGTTGTTACCACTATAGTAACAATCCCGTTGGATCAGAGGGACTCAGGAAGTTTCCCAGAGGTAATGAAGTCTGACGCCCTTTAGCTCTCTCACCTCCTTTAGTGCCCTGCAGGCGTTCAGCTCTCAGCCTGCTCTTACCCAAAGACATCACAAAACAGCATCAGAAGCCCAATGCAAGCCGTGCGGTGTGGGTTGAGAGTTAAAGTGTACCTCTTCCTGGTAGCTTCCATCTCCAACCTACCCACCCCCATCTTCTTCCAAAAGAGCCCAAGAAGAGAAGGAGGCCAGGTTGAACAGTCCCATCACTCCCTATGCCCGAACCCACTGCTCACCACGCCGCCTCTCACAGCCTCCGCCGCGTAGACCTGTCTTCTGGTCACGTGTCCCAGCAGGTACCTTCTCTTTTCCTTCCTACTCCATTTGCCACCCACCCTCCCAAGGTTCCGTTTTCCTACGCAGTACTCAGAGGTTTATTTCATTTCTCGTAGTCCAGCCTACGCCAACTTTCGCACAACCTCTGCAAAAGAGCCTAAGCCAAAATTCCCTAATTTCTACCGAAAAGACTGGCCGCCGCGCGTCCCACGTCTCCTTCACTGGGGTAGGCCGGCGCCAGGGAGCGGAAGCAAAATACAGAAGCGCTTCCTGGACAGGATCGGCATAGCTCCACGGCACTCGCGGGGGTGAGCGGCCTAGGGTTTGGGATTTAGATCGGAATAAACCAACCCTCGGAAAGGCAGGAACGGCTCAGAGACAGACGTGGCAACCTGAGGAGCGATGTCAAAGCCCCGGAATCTTATTTGAATGTGGGGGTGACTGTTATGAGCCGCTAGGTTTACGAGTAGCTCTGTCGCTTCCCTCACCGAGCTCTGGAATGGTCCGCGCCGGGAGGGCGCGCGAGGCTTGAAGCGCGGCCCGGGAAGCGGGTGAGGGGGGAAGCGGAGGGTCCCTGGCGGGGCCGGGTTGGCGATGGAGGCTGAGCGGGCCGAGGTGCGCGCCTTGAACGCGGAGATTGCCGCGCTGCGGCGGGCTTGCGAGCAGTTGCCCGCGCCCAGGGAAGACGCGACCCGAGTCCGGTAGGTGGCCTGTGGGCGGCGTCCCGGGGCGAGGCATTTGAATCTCCGCAAAGCCCGGGACTGCGACTCCCTGCGGGCCCGGTGCTGGCAGCTGTAGCTGGGACACCCCCAAAAGTGGATGTGAACAGACGCGAAGAGACTCCCTTAAGGACAACAGGGTCCCACAGTTCTGAGCACTACGTATGGGGCTCTGTAGTAAGCGCGTTGCAGCTCAGTAACTCGTTTGACCAGAGCCACGAGAAAGTCTTTTTCTTAGCACGTTCTCTTTCCCCATCGGCGACTGTTCAGGATTTGTCTGCCTCCCTTAACTAAATCCTGCCTTCGGCAGGCAGCTGTATACAGTTCAGATTTAATAATGCATGGCCTCTGTTTTTTTGTGATTTCTCGTTTGGGATAATAACATAAACTTTCCTTTGAAAAATAACTTACATAAAGAGATAAGTTGATATGAAAAAAAAAAAAGGCTAATACAGTCTGTAGAATTTGACAACTCCGCTGTAGGTGCTGGTGTTAACCCCGTTCTAAATTTAAGGAACCTGCGAATCAGAGAAGATGAGTAATTTGCCCAAGGTAGAGAAAGAAAAGTGTAAGAGCTGAATTGGAACCCAAAAAACTCTAGCTACAAAGTCCAGGCTCTTCTCTTGATTGAAGAAGAGGGAAATGGCTATACCAGTTAATTATATAACAAAGATGTTTCGTTTCAAACCTGCAAGGCACTTGAAAACATAAACCATCTAATAGTAAAATTTTTAATGTCGACTAATTTGAAGCCAGCGATGGTGCGGACCTGTAATCCCAAGCCACTCTACAGGCGGAAGCAGGAGGAATCACAAATTCAAGTCCAGCCTGAGTATTTAGCAAGACCCAATCTCAAAAAAAAAAAAAAAAAAAAAAAATACAAAAAGGGTCGGGGGTAGTACAGTCCAGTTAAAAATAGGGATCCACTTCCTTTCCTTCATCTATAAATATAAACCCTAATAGTTATCCATGTTTATTTTATTTTATTTTTTCTTTTTGAGACAGGGTCTCGTTATGCAGTTCAGGCTGACCTTGAGCTCACTGTGTAGCCCAGGCTGGCCAACTATCCTCCTGCCTCAGCCTCCTGAGTACTGGGATTACAGGCGTGCGCCACCACGCCCAGCTATTACTTCTTTGAATCTTTACCCTCTGTATGCTTAGATTTCTTGAGACATCTCTTAGTATAAAGCATTTTGGATATTTAATTTTTTAGAAATTAAAGATAATTCCATTTTTTATTTTTAAGACATTTTAGGATTATTTGAGATGTCTTGGGAAATCAGACATTCACGTTGGGAATTCTTGGATGAGAACTAACATTTCAATTTTGTAAAGTAGTCCTATTTTAATTTGTTTTAAAGATGTTCTTAATATGTGTAAATATAGTAACAATTTGATGGTTGTCTTATGTTGAAATTAGAGTTGAAATTAGAGATTATATATTAACAGCCATATTGATTTTGAGAAAATTATTATGTAGTTTTAGTGGGAAGAGATTAAGAGGAAGAACAATGGGAATGTTTTGTGGAAATTGGGGTATTAAGTGAAGTACTTGTTAGTAATTGGAATAACTTCCTGATTATTTGCTTTTTTAGAAAATCATTTACAGAGATACACCAATCAGATTCTGTGGGATGGGAGTCTTCAAAAGACCTGAGAAGTCATCTTAGGCATTTAGAATCAGAACTGTCATTTCTAAGCATGCTTACTGGCTTCAGTATAACAGGTTACTCCAAGAAGACCGAGGATCTGACAAGCACTGAGATGAAAGAAGAAGGTAGGCACCTGCAGCATTCTTACTATTTTGCTGTTGTTGCTTTTAGGTGGTGCTGCTAGGGATTGAACCCAGGCTTCACAGTTGCTGGACAAGAGCTCAACCACTAATCTATACTCAGCGCTTGTAAAATTTTAGTTTGAGATAAGATCTTGCTAAATTTCCCATGCTGGCCTCAAACTTGAGATCTTCCTGCCTGAATCTCCCAAGTAGCTGTGAATTACAGACATACCTAATTGTGCCCAGCTACCTTATTCTTAATCTAGAGGTGGTTTTGAAGCTTACTTTATTATATATAGGAAATTGGTTGTCATAATTTTGAATTAAAATTCTACAAGTTCACGAAAAGTGAAATTGTGATAAACATGTTAAATCATGTTAAAGTGTCTTTTGAACATCACATTGGGGTTAATACTCTTAAAACTGCCTAAGGTAAATATTAAGGAATAGGACACAGACCCTGTATTTAAGTACCTTAGTTGTCAAGTACTAGTAATAAGTGATTAGTGATTGCCAGAACAAAAGCACTGTGAATTTATAAATATTACAATTCATCACTGATATGAAAGCTGCCTTATCTAAAATGCTCTACGCTTGTCATTGCCTGTGGCCAAAAAATGTTTAGCAGCTGAAGCTTTTTCCAGGAGGGCATCTGATCCTAGTGACTTCAGTTTTATTGCAAAGATCTATGATATACTAACAAGTAAGCAGAAACTAATTCAGCCTTGCATTGGATGTAAAGAACTTGGGTTGGACACGGGTACCATTCCATAAAGTAGAAATCATTTTTAGACTTTTCCTCTGAAATAACTCTTAAGAGGAAGGAGAGGGAGAGGGAGCCCAAAAGGTCTTAGGCAGGTCACCACAGAGGGATTTTGCATTACATACAGAAACAGAGCGATGGGATTTAAAGACTTGAGTTACTTGAAAGGAAAAGATGGAATACAAAAAGTTTAGAGAGTGAGGATGGAGCAGTCATAAAATTTACTAGCATAAAAGTCTTAACAAACATGGTGGACGTATTGGCACACACCTGTAATTGTAGCACTTAGTGAGGGGGGAGGAGGATTGATGTGAAGTCAAGGGTAGTGTGGCCTACATAGTGAGTTTAAGGCCAGCCTGCACTACATAGCGAAACCCTGTCTCAAAACAAAAAACAAAAACCAGACAGTTTAAAGTCATTACTTCTTTCAATAGACATTATTAGAGCAGACATAGTTCCTCTCCTAGCTGTGATGGCAAATTTTTGAGAGACTCAGCCAAACTGCAACCCAAAGCCCACTTACTTATCGCAAAATGCCAACACTGCAATTAAATCTGAACATAGAGGTTTTAGTTTTGGAAAAACGACTCATACATTAACATTTTTTCTCTTAAAAAAAACACAATAACACACATACCATAGGTTTGTCACCAGTGCTGTCATACATTAATAAATATATCAGAAGCTAGTTAATCAAATAATCTTGTTCCCTTCAGAGTAGTCGTGTTTAGTGGACTGGGGATGAGGCTCAGTGGTAGAGTTCTTGCCTTGCATGCACAAGGCCCTGGGTTCGATCCCCAGCACCACAAAAACCAAGTAGTTGTGTTGAAAGAGTCTATGCTTTATTGCACTTTTAAAATGTTACCTCTTCAAATGTTTTTAGAACTCTTGGAATTTTCTTTAGCGTTCATGATGATTCCTTTGAATATTCTCAAATTTGATTTCTTAAGCGTTGGCTTATAAACTGAGCAAGGAGTTTGAAGTCCAAAGTTAAGTGTGACTACAAAGTTATAGGAATAGTTTTTTCAAAAAATTTAAGCAGTAACTGTTCCTTTCAATAGACCAGTAGAAATCAGCAGTACAGTTATCCCAGCTGTCCTGTGTATATACATATATTTATTTCCCTTTCTTTCTTTTCTCTTTTTCCTCGTCTCAGTTGTTCCTTCCTTTGAGCAGTTTCTTTCCCTTTCACAGTATCTATTTACCTTTCAGATTTTATTTACTCTTTCAGGTTCTTATACTAGGGACACAATCTGATGTTTATAAATACAGATCTAATTTATTTCACTTATGTGTATGGTCTCTACTTGCACTCATTTATGTATAAAAGCTTCGAGATTATCTTTCTTTATAGCTAAATAATATTCCATTGTATAAAAATACCACATATTTTTATCCATTCCTCAGTTGATGGGCATTTGGGATGTTTCCAAGATCTAGCTATTACCAGTTGTGCTGCTATAAATATGGGTGCACATGTATTGCCATGGTATGATGTTTTCAGTTCTTCTAGAAAAATACCCACAAGGGGAATAGCTGGGTTGAATGGGACCTCTCATGCTAGTTTTTTGAGGACTCTGCACACTGATTTCTATATTGGTTGTACCAGCCTACACTCCCACCAACAGGGGAGGAGGATTCCTTTTTTTCCACAACCCCTCCAAAGTTTGTTATTGGTTGACTTCTTGATGATGGCCATTCTTTCTGGAGTGAG